TCCAAATTGGAACGGCATTTTTTAATGAGATGGAGAAACAAATCACCAACTTCATATGGAAAGGGAAGAGGTCCCGGATAAGTAAAGCATTGCTCAAGAAGAAGAACAAAGTGGCAGGCCTCACACTACCTGATTTTAGAACCTGTTATACTGCTATGGTAGTCAAAACAGCCTGGTACTGGTACAACAACAGATACATAGACCAATGGAACAGAATTCAGATCCCAGACATAAATTCATCCCCCTATGAGCAGCTGATATTTGACAAAGGCCCAAAATCCGTTAATTGGGGAAAACACAATCTCTTTAACAAATGGTGCTGACATAACTGGATATCCACCTGCAAAAAACTCAAACAAGATACATACCTCACACCATGTACAAAAAACTAACTCAAAATGGATCAATGACTTATATATAAAATCGAAAACAATAAAGATCATAGAAGAAAAAATAGGCAAGTTAGGAGCCCTAATACATGGCATAAACACAATATGAACCATAAGTAACAATACACAAGCACCAGAAGACAGACTAGATAACTGGGAGCTCCTAAAAGTCAAACACTTGTGCTCATCAAAAGACTTCACCTAAAGAGTCAAAAGACAACCTACAAACTGGGAAAAAAGTCTGGCTACAACAAATCTGATCAGCATCTGATCTCTAAAGTCTACAAGATATAGCAACATCTCAACAACAAAAAGACAAATCACCCATTCAAAAAATGGGCAAAGGATATGAACAGGCACTTCACCGAAGAAGATATTCAGGTGGCTAACAGACACATGAAGTAATGCTCACGATCATTAGCCATTAGAGAAATGCTGCTCAAAACTACAATGAGATATCATCTCACCCCAACAAGGCTAGCATTAATCCAAAAAACACAAAATAATAAATGCTGGAGAGGTTGTGTAGAGACTGGAACACTTACACACTGTTGATGGGAACGTAAAATGGTACAACCACTTTGGAAATTAATTTGGCGCTTCCTTAAAATGCTAGAAATAGAAGTACCATAGGATCCAGCTATCCCGCTCCTTGGAATATATCCTAGAGAAATAAGAGCCATCACACAAATAGGTATCTGCACACCCATGTTCATTGTTCACAGTAGCAAAAAGATGGAAACAACCTATGTGCCCATCAACGGACGAATGGATAAACAAATTATGGTATATCCACACAATGGCATACTATGCAACAATAAAGAACAACGACGAAGCCATGAAGCATAACATGGAGGAAGCTGGAGGGCATTATGCTGAGTGAATGTAGTCAGTCACAGAAGGACAAATATTGTATAAGACCACTATTATAAGAACTTGAGAAAAGATTTAAACACAGAAGAAAACATTCTTTGATGGTTACGAGGGTGGGGAGCGAGGGTGAAGGTTATTTACTAACTAGATAGTAGATAAGAATTATCTTAGTTGAAGGGAAGGACAGCATTCGCTACAGGGGAAGTCAGCACAACTGGACTAAACCTAAGCTAAGAAGTTTCCTGAATACAGTCAAACACTTTGAGGGACAGAAGAGCAGAGGTAGGGGTCTGGGGACCGTGCTTTCAGGGGACATCTAGGTCAATTGGCATAACAAAGCTTATTAAGAAAATGTTCTGCATCCTACTTTGGTGAGTGGTGTCTGGGGTCTTAAAAGATTGCAAGCGGCCATCTAAGATGCATCAATTAGTCCCAACCCACTTGGAGTAAAGAAGAATGAAGAACACCAAAGACACAAGGAAAGTATTAGCCCAAGAGACAGAAAGGGCCACATAAACCAGAGACTTCATCAGCCTGAGACCAGAAGAACTAGATGGTGCTTGGCTACCATCAATGACTGCCCTGACAGGGAGCACAACAGAGAGTCCCTGATGGAGCAGGAGTAAGGTGGGGTGCAGAACTCAAATTCTGGTAAGAAGACCAGACTTAGTGGTCTGACTGAGACTGGAGGAACCCCAGAAAGCATGACCCCTGGATTCTCTATCAGCCCAGAACTAAAACAATTTCCGAGGCCAGCTTTTCAGACAGGGAATGGACTGGACTGTAGGACATAAAGTGATACTCATGAGGAGTGTGCCTCTTAGCTCAAGTAGGTACAAGAGACTAAATGGGCAGCTTCTGTCCAGAGGTGAGATGGGAAGGCAGAGAGGGTTAGGAGCTGGTTGAATGGACATGGGAATCAGGGGTGGAAAGGAGGAGTGTGCTGTCACAGTATGGGGAGAGCAATTAGGGTCACATAACAATGTATGTATAAATTTTTGTATGGGAGATTAACTTGAAATGTAAACTTCATTTAAACTACAGCAATAAAAAACATAATAAAAAAATGAAAAAGAAATCAAACAACGTATTGCATTGGGCAAATCTTCTGCAAAAGACCTCTTTCAAGTGTTAAAGAACAAAGATGTTAAGTTGAGGACTAAAGTATGCCTGACCCAAGCCATGGTATTTTCAGTCGCCTCATATGCATGTGAAACCTGGACAATGAAGAAGGAATACCGAAGAAGAATTGATGCCTTTGAATTGTGGTGTTGAGAAGAATACTGAATATACCATGGACTTCCAGAAGAATGAACAAATCTATCTTGGAAGATGTATAGCCAGAATGCTCCTTAGAAGCAAGCATGTTGAGACTGTCTCACATACTTTGGACATGTTATCAGGAGGGACCAGTCCTTGGAGAAGGAAACCATGCTTGATAAAGTAGAGGTAAAGAGTGAAAAAGAGTAAGACCCTCAACGAGATGGATTGACACAGTGGCTGCAACAATGGGCTCAAACATATCAATGATTGTGAGGATGGCACAAGACTAGGCAGTGTTTTGTTCTGTTGTGTATAGGATCACTATGAGTCAGAACCAACTCAGCAGCACATAACAACAACAGCGGCATCTGAAGGGTACTACTGGCATCTAGTGGATAGAGGCCAGGGATGCTACTAAACATCCTACAATGTGTAGGGCAGCGCCATGACAAGGATCCAACCCAAAAGTCAGTAGTGCCAAGACTGAGAAACCTTACTTAAAGAAGATCTCTCAGAGAGCAGATTGGCAGTGGAGAACAGGTGGGATTGATTGAGGGTGCATTCTAAAATGAGGAATGTGAGCCCACCCCGGAGTCCTTGAAGGGGAGCCTGGGATGCTCAAAGGCAGGCCTGAGGCCTGGGGCCAGTGTACCTGTAGTAAACAGGAAGCAGCAGCTCTGGCTTCTCTTTCTCCTGCTGGGGCAGAATGACACTTTTGTCTTCAAACTCTGCTGCCTCTTCTGCCTCCAGCTTATCCAGGAGCTCCAGGTCACTGGCAGAGGTGAGCTCATCCCGGATATGACTCCAGTCATACTGCTGATGCAGGAAGCTCTGCCACTTGTTGGGGGATACCCCAGGCCTTAGAGGACGTTTGTTCATGATCCACCGCGCTGTGCGCCTGTTCAGCTTTTCCAGCACGAGAGCCTCCCAGGCTCTGGCCTCCTTCTCAAGAGGTGAAAGCCAGGCTTCCCTCTCTCCAAGGTCCACATCTGGAGAAGGTGGCAGATCCACCAGAGATGGTTTCCTACAGTGACGAAAGATGCGAGGGTGAGGTTTTTCTTGCACTGTGCTTGCTGACTTTGATTTCTTCAGCTTCTTTTTAAGATTGGCAGAGCTTTCTGTCTTCAGAGCCTGGGAGGTGACCTCTGTTGAGGGATCTGAGGAATCCAAGAACTTGAAGCTGACAGGTTTCTCAGGTTGAGCCTTCCTGATCCTGGGAGGCTGGATGATGTTGTCTGCATTGTAGAGGTGGTCAAAGCTGTACTGTCTGTAAGGAATGCTGGACAGCCCTTGCTGCCTCACCACCTCCTGAGAGAAGGTAAGGTTTGCAGCGGCATTTTTCAAATACTGGTTCTTGAGGTGCACACAGTGCTGTGGACTGAAATGGAAGGCTGGGGGCACACTGGAGACAGACGCACACTCATCCTTGCTTCCTGGTTTCACATAGGAGAAAATCATGCCCCACCGCAGGCGTGGGGGCAGTGACTGGTGGAAATGGTGGGAGAGAAAGGTCTTTTCCTTTGGGGTCTTGCTCATATTTCTGAGCAAATGCTTCCTTCCACTCTGCTGGCCCAGAGGCAGGGCCTGGAGGTATGATCAGGCACCTGTTAAGGGGATGAGAGGAACCGGTGAGAGTTCTAGGGGAGCAGAAATTGGTAGCCCATATCAACGCGGGAAGAGGATAACTTGGAAGACAGAGGGGGGAGAGCCATGTGCATTAGAAGTGCAAAATAAAGAGATAGTGAAACATTCTAAATATTCCTTGTACTTTGTATCAGACCCTTACTTCCAATTCCCACACTTGTCCCCAAAGCTCAGAAACTTGTCTCCTTATGAGAGAGGACTGCTTTTCAATAGTATCCCACATTTGCAATTTCTCCTCAAATGTTGTTTTCTCCGTTCAAAAAGCTTATACCATAAAGTTCAGGTAGTTTAGCCTGGCATTCAGGATTCTCCATGAACCCATATGACCCCAGTTTATGACCTTGTCCTGACATATAACCTCTGCTTGAGCCAGATGAGTCTCCCAGCTCTTCTCTGAGTATTCCCCCTCCACATAGTGGTAGTTTCTTCTGTACCCCCTACATGAAATAGCCTTTCTTTAATACTCAATGCAAATCCTATCCATATTTCCAGGCCCAGCTCAATTCCTGCCCACTTGGAGAAGTCTTTCTTGCCCAATCTAGGATACCCTGACCAGAATTTATAAATCATTCCTTCTCCATAACACTTATTTTTAACTTTTAATCTCATGACACCTCACATAGTTAATATTTGGCTCTCTAAGTAGACTGCACAAGGACTATTCTGTCTCTCTTCTGTCCCTCAAAATCATCCACATTGCCACATAGTCTCCCTTGTTAAAATGTTTAACAGCTGCAGGATATTTTATCAAGTGGGTAAAACCCCTTGGCTCTTCCTTAACTATTAAGCAGGCTGTTTCCACGTTTAGCTAGCATGGAAAACACAGTAGAGAACAAATGCTTAGATTTAGTGTTTTGGTTTATGATTTTTTTTTTCCTTCTGAAGAACTCCCTTGGCCTAATAATAATTGACAATTATGGACTACTTGCTATGTGCCAGGCACTATGCTAAAGGCATTATATATGGAAGATATGATTTTCATTTCCTGTGGGAAGAATCTGAGGCTCAGAGAGGTAGGTAAATTGTTACTCAGATCACATATCCCATAAGTAGAGGAGTCAGGCTTCAAACCCAGACTGCCAGAGTCCAACTTCAGAGCACTTAACCTCTATGCAACACTGGCCTTGGCTCACGCTCTGCTCCTTCACCACTAAAACAGGGGCAGATAGGCCTCCTCACACACAAGGATGAAGGTGAGACCATGCCTGCATATCCTGCCTCGCTTACTGCCAACTCCTGCCCTTCCTGCCCTGAGCATACAATGCCCCTACAGACCAAAATCTGACTCATTTCTCTTTCCTCCACAAGGCTCAGCATAGTACTTTTTCTCCTAAGGGTTTGATTTATTCCTCTGTCTTCCATGTATTAAACCCAACCACTTGGGTGTTTCTTTCTGCTAAGGCTCAGCTTTCATCTAGAAGTCTCTAGGCCAGAATTGAAAACCTCACTCAAATTGTCACACATGATTAATATGATATCCTTCCAGGATTTTTTTGCACGTAAGATTAAATTTAGTTCCTCCAGCTGTTCTTAACCATGAAGGTTACAAGGACACTAGGTATTTAAAAAGTTGGACTGGAAAAATTAGGGCAAGGGTAGCAGGATAGTCACAAGTGATTTTTTCCTGGAACAGTGCCTATACTGGTTGAAAATGAACTGTCAGGAGTGTGTTGCTCTCCTAAAACATTCTGGGGCTTCCTGGCTGGTGAAAGAAATCAATGCACATGGGAGAGTAGTACATCCCTTTTTGGGACATGGAAGCTCCATGCTGGGAACCCTCTAAGACCTTGCCCTATGCGTTAATTTGTATCCTTTTTGCTATAATAAAACTGTAATCATCATGAGTGAGTTTCAGCCAGAACTGAAAAATGACCATGAATTTTGAGCCACTTACCATCCAAAGCTGAAAAAATTACTAAGGATTTTGAGTGACTCCAGTACTCCAGGCCCTTATCAACCTAATTAAAGACTAGTGACAATGGACTTGGTTAAAAACCAGCTCTGTGGGGGCCACTTAGGAATTCATCCTGTCCTAGCTAGAGTCAAGCTTCAGTCCTTATTTAGCATTCAAAAAAAAAAACCAAACCCACTGCATGGAGTCTATTCTGACTCATAGTGACCCCATAGGGTTTCCAATCTCTACAGAAGCAGAAGCAGACTGCCACCCATCTTTCTCCAGTGGAACTGCTGGTGGCTTCGAACCCCCGACCTTTCAGTTAGCATAGCCACCATGAATCTCATTTTCCTAACCCATTAAAAACCCTTAACTTTTCCCCTTCATTGGTGAACTCTTCCATGAATTTCATCACTGGTGTGTGTTCCTGGTGTGGAAAGGAATTAAACTCAGCACATGCTTTTAAATTTAAAAAAAAAAAAAATTTTTTTTTAACATGTCAGTGTATCAGTATCTTGCTCCTAAGGCAGGGAACATTTTAATCCTAAACACTTGAGAAACGCATGAGGACGGGTTTCACCCCAAGACGGCTACCTGTATGGAGAGATTTAGGGTGTCCCCAGATATAACCCCTTTAGTCCATGACATAAATAATCTCTGATTACAAAGCAAACATCCTAGAAAGAATACCATATTATCATTATCAGTTATTAAAAAGTCTCACGGATTAGTTATTGTCCTGACATGTAACCTCTGCTTGAGCCAGATGTGTCTCCTAGCTCTTCTCAGCTTGTTGAGAGAGAAGGAAACACATGATATATTTGTTTTGAAAGGGAATGGGGACAAGACAAAAGGTTGTAAGGATGGTCAGAAGAGGCTTGTCCCGGGCTTAGAGTCAGAAGATGGGTGTAAACCCAGGTTCTTTACTTCCCAGCCATGTTACCTTGGGTAAATGATTTAATATCCCTGAGCCTCAGTTTCCCAGTCTGCAAATAGAGAGTCTAATTAATGCCTATTCTAATTTACTGTTGATACGAAGCTGAAAACTAGGTAAAGTTCTTTGCAAGCTGCAAAGTGTTCCATAAATGTGAGGAATTATTACTAGTTTAGACTTTTGTCCTTAGAAGGCAGCACTTGGGGATCCCACAGTCAGATGCACCAGGCACTTAGGGAACAGTTTAGGGGTGTTGGGGCACCAGGCACTTGGAAGAGAAAGGGAAGAAAGGACCTGTGAATAGAGCGTGGAGGCTCCATATTATCCAAACTTAGATGTGAGAGGGACCAGCGTTGTGAGGCAGGGCCCTGTCTCTCACAAATATCCCTCAAGAATGAAAAGCAGAGTGGCAGGTCCCAGGTACTTTTGTGCACTGAAAAAAAAAAAAAAACCCAAACTTACCTGTGCTGTTGAGTTGATTCTGACTCATAGCGACCCTATAGGACAGGGTAGAACTTCCCTATAGGGTTTCCAAGGCTGTAAATCTTTACAGCAGTAGACTGCCACATCTTTCTCCCATGGATTGGCTGGTGGGTTCGAACGGCTGACCTTCTGGTTAGCAGCCCTGGTTGCACAGTGGTTAAGTACTTGGGTGCTAACCAGAAGGTCAGTGGTTTGTGTACCAACAACATAAGAAATAGAAAAGCTGGCATCCAAGGAGACCAGGCCCTGCAATCCCATAAGCAGCAACCACCAGCATTTTCTCTGTACTTCCAGGAACTTGGCTTGGATGGTTGGGCTACAGTAGGATTGGAAGGGTTAGGCCACATACCTCCAGTTAAAACCTGATAAACCTCCTAGACCCCTAGCTGTAAAACGTGGAGGTTGAACTAAAGTAAGGGCCCTCCTGCCTCTGATATTTTATGAATATAAGAACCCAGACTCAAAATGCGTGGTATATCAGAGGTTTCAAATTTAGTTCCACTCTTCTATTCACCTTCCCATCCCACATGCCCACTCCTTAGTCTGTTATCTTTATTCTGCAAAAGTGGTTGAAGTGGGCTGAAAAGGAGTAATATCTTGCTTTTTTCCCCTCTGTTATTAAAGCAAAAGAAACTGCCATGGAGAAAAAGGCTAAAGGCAATAAACCTTAGTATAGGAATCTTACTGACAGCTTTTAAAAAACAATACACTATCACCTTCACCCATGGTTTCTTTTTTTTTTTCTTCTTTTTCTTTTTGTATTGTGCTTTAAGTGAAAGTTTACAATTCAAGTTAGTTTCTCATACAAAAATTTATACACACATTGTTATGTGACCCTAGTTGCTTTCCCTATACTGTCACATCACACTCCTTTCCACCTCATATTTCCCACGTCCATTCAACCGGCTCCTGACCCTCTCTGCCTTCTCATCTCCCCTCCGAACAGGAGCTGCACATTTAGTCTCATGTATCTACCTGAGCTAAGAAGCACACTCTTCACAAGTATCATTTTATGTCCCATAGTCCAGTCTAATCTTTGTCTAAAGAGTTGGCATCGGGAATGGTTTTAGTTCTGGGTTGACAGAGGGTCCAAGGGCCATGTCTTCCGGGGTCCCTCCAGTCTCAGTCAAACCATTAAGTCTGGTCTTTTTACTAGAATTTGAGTTCTGCACCCCACTTTTATCCTGCTGAGAGTCCGTCAGGGACTCTGTGTTGTGTTCGTTGTCAGGGCCATCATCGCGGTAGCCGGGCACCATCTAGTTTTTCTGGTCTCAGGCTGATGGAGTCTCTGGTTATGTGGCCCTTTCTGTCTCTTGGGCTAATATTTTCCTTGTGTCTTTGGTGTTTTTCATTCTCCTTTGCTCCAGCCCACCCACAGATTCTGATCCTGAAGTTCTGATGTGGGCCCCAAGAGGGAGCAGTCAGCTTCTGGGGCAGTGCTTGCTAGAGTTTGGTTCAGCAACCTCCTACAAGAGTGCCTGAGGAGCTTACAAAAAATGCAGATTCCTGTGTCCCACTCCCAGACTGTTGCTCCAGTAGGCTACAAGTGAGGCTTAGAAATCTGCATATTTTTATGCATACTTGATTTAAGGAAACCACAG